CAGGTTACAAAGGCAAGATCTCACAAAGATGAGAACACTTTTTAGTCAATTACTCACTCTGGTTCTCAAAGATCTTCCTAAATGGTGTCAATATGGTTAATCAGGGAAATGGAATGTGTTAGAAAGATTTGAAAGCCAATGAAGACACCTCAAGGTTCATTGTAACATGCAATAGTTGATAAGAAATCCAAAAAAAAAAAAAAAAAACAAAAAAAAAAAAAAAAACTCATAGAAAACCCTCCTTGGGTTTCTGAGTCAGTATCACTACGGAAGTAGATGGCCCAATCTTCCTTCAGAGGAGTGGCTGATGGGATTGAATCCCAACCTTCTGGTTAGCAGTCAAATGCCTTAGGTACTATGTCAGCTCCTAGTTCAAACATAGATGTAGATGACAGTAAAATAATTAAAAGGAAGAGAGCAGGAGTGGACATCATTGCTGTTTCCTAGAAGAAATTGGGTCCCCAAGTCGTCACTCTGACTCATGGGAAGGAAGGCTTTTGGAATACATTAATCAGAACTGAAACAAGAATGGAAAGAGTTCTGCCTTCCAAAGGTATGCTATGGACCATTCATTCTCACTGTTTCTAAAGAATTGCTCTAACTCCCTTCATCCCTTCACAGGAATTCATCTTCATGATAGGCATTTACTTTGAGAAGGAGTAACAGATTTATTGAAGGTGGAAGTAATAAATGAGAATAAAATTATAAATATTTATCTAGAAATATATTTGTTTCATATGTCTCTAGAAAGTACTTTAAAAAAATAATCATGTAGAGCCTTTGCTCTGCATGCTATAGCACTGTGTGCATCCCCTATTACAATAATATCCTCCTTCCCTGCTAGACTAAGCACCCCACAGGCAAGAAAAAATGTGTAATCTTTATTTGTATACCCAATGTCTACCACAGCCCTCAGAATATTGTACATTCAATGAATACTTCATGATGAAGAAAGAAAGGAAGAGAACATTTATTTTGTTCTGATTTACTACTGCTACCCTGTTGTGTGTTGGGATCTGACAAAGGATAGAAGTTAGGCTAGGCATCCCTTTTATTACTAAAGAAAACAAAAATAGGTGGTCTGAAAAACATCAGCCCCAGGATCCTTACAACAAATCTCCCATGTTCAGCTGGGAGTGAGTACAAGAAGATAAGCTATTCATAAAAATACATCTGGATAAATGACAAATGTCTATTCCTCTTGACAAATTCTCCTAGAAACCATGGCAAAGCCAACCTATGCACACAATGTATTATCCAGTAAAACCCATTGCCATCAGCTAGATTCCAACTCGTGGTGATTCTGTAGGACAGAGTAGTCCTGGTCTGTAGGGTTTCCAAAACTGTAATTCTTTACAGAAGCAGTCACATCTTTTCCCTGAGGAGAGGCTGGTGGGTTGAGAACTGCCAATCTTTCAGTAAGAAGTTTGAGTGCTTAACTACTGTACCAACAGGGTTCCTTCAAATCATGCCCACTACTAACTGCCATCGAGTTGATTCCAACTCATGACAGCCCTTTAGGACAGAGTAGAATTTCCTTACAGGGTTTCCAAGGCTGTAAATCTTTATTGAAGCAGACGATTGCATCTTTCTCCCATGGATCTGCTGATGGATTCCAACCTCTGAACTTTTTGGTTAGCAACCAAATCCTTTAACCACTATACTACTAAGGCTGTTTTCAAAGAATGCAGTGGGGTAAAATATATTTTGTTGTTATTGGGTAATGCTGAGTTGATTCTGACTCATATCAACCTTGTGTGACAGAATATAAGTGCCCCATGAGATTTTCTTGGTTGTAGACTTTATGGAAGCAGATAGCCTGGTCTTTCTCTTGTAAAGCAGTTGGGTGGGTCTGAACTGCAACTTTTTGGTTAGTAGCCAAGAGATTAACCATTGCTCCTTCAAGGCTCCTTAAATATATTTTAGAGTTAGCAAAAGTTTTCTCATTTGCTTAAATAAAATATATTTGGTTGGTGGAAGTGATACCACAAAACGGTTCCCTTTGAATATGAAATTGCACAGGTATTTTTGGTTTCACTGGAAGATGCAAAGCACATAAATTCTTTATATATGTCAGCTACCAAAGACTGAGCGTTAGAGTGAAGGAGATCACAGTGATCTGGAGCATGCAATCAGGAAACCAGACCATGGAAGCACAAGAGGGTGGTTAAAGAGGAATTAGAATGATTTCAAAGGCTATGTATTTAATTTTTAGACTGTAATTGTTCAAAGATTGAAACATGCACAAAACTGAACAACTGTATAAAACTGGGATTCGATAACATTGAGGAAGGACAGGCTGTAAATTATGTTTATTTTTGAAGGTGAAGTTTGATTGCTTTTCACATACATCTAGTGAAACTTAATGAGTTCCCTGGGCTTATGAAATGATCTAACCCTGTAAAAATAATTCCAATTTAACCCTGAGACTCTACTTGCGAGAGTGGTGTGCAGTTCGTATTATGTCTTGGCATTGGTCTATGGTACATTCAACTTGACGGCAACTGGTAATTTGTGCATAGTGTGTATGTATACATAGTCTATGCATGTGGGAGGTATGTAGATGACTCTACAATACAGATTTGACAATGATAGAGCATTATAAATTTTTCAGCCTACAGAACTACCTATAAGCATATACATGTAGATGAGAAAAGCAAATACTCTAAGTTGGTCTTTGCTAGTCTTCCACTTCTTTTATCTTCCCTGTGTCAGCAAAATGCAATCTTGAATAATGAGGAATTGCAGCTTTATTACTCATACCTTCCTTTTCCTTTCTATTTCATTATTAGACATGCTTCAGGCTAAGCTTACTGTCTTGATGGTGACTTTCATTTCAGGGGACAAAGGAATATATGGCCAAGCAAAAGACTGATTTACACAGCCTTTTCACAGAAACAGAAAACTCAGATGTGAAAATTGAAAATGAGAGAGGTCAGGGCATGGAGAAAACAGTATTCAAAGATCATTTCTCTTACTAAAGGATCATTCATCTTATTAAAGCTAGAAAAAATAACAAAAAGTGTTCTTGTTAGAATCACATGAAAATGAGTTTCCTAGGAAAAGGATATAATGGAAATATTGAAGGGATTAAGTAGAAGCCATACAGAATTTTAAGGGGAGAATGCATACTTATAAAAATGTCTTAAAGTGAGAAAATATAATTAAAAAATAAACCCTTACCCCATGTGTTCTGCCTCTGAAAGAGAAGCTGTGGACCTGATATGGAATAGACCTAATGAGTTCATCATTATGAGTCTTGTCATGCAGCGAGAATGTTAAATAATCAGAAGCAGTATACACACTAAGAACAAGATGGAAACTCTGCAAACTGTCAAGGCTGGCAAACAACAATGTGGTAATTGTTTTCCAAGTGGAATCTGTCTTGTAAAGAGAACCGGCAAGTACTTTCCACATCTGTGGATCATTATATTGACATTTCCAGGAAAGTAGAGTATTTATACTGTTTTCCCCTTATGTTTTATTTCTCCAAGATGGTTCAGAGACAAAGAGTTAGACATATTGCTACATCAAAATCATGATTTTTTTTTTTCTTACTATCACATCACAGATGATCTCAAGGTGTCTTCTTGAAGGAATAACTGTGTTTCTTTGATACTTTCTTGTTAAATGGGGCAAAGACCCTGAAATTGTTAATTACTTCACCTAGGAATTTAACCCACTTAAAAGATGCATGAAGAGGCTTTTATGTGCATAAGATGCGGCAGATTTAAAAATGCAGTGTGCTATAGAACCTATGGACTCCTCTGAAGTCAAATAGTGAGAGTCAGCTACGGCTGATATTAATGCCACCAGATATCCAGTCAGTGTGTCCTAAATCTCTTAGAAAATGGCTCAGTGGACAGAGGTGAATTCATTATGTCTGCTCTAAATGTGAAATCTACATTCCCTGCTTTCACCAGATCTTTGGTGAATGGATAGAAAGGAAGAATTCTGTTTGGTATTTCTCTTCTTTATTCAGTTCTTTTTAAGCTGAATTAAAAGAGTTTAAGCTCTTTTACGGAACCAGATACAATTTTAGACTTCTTTTTGCTGCAATATCAGACATGTGTGTGTGTGTCTGTGCGTGTGTGTGTATGTGTGTTACTTCAGGTTACTAATCCCAGGAAAAACCTAGCTAGCATTTCTTACAAAATTGGATAAGGCATTTTTGAAGTTATAGAACATTTACCTCCTAGCAGCTCTCTTTTTACCTCCCAGTTTTAAGCTACTATTTTCCATGTTTCCCCTAGGTTTATGCTATTGGGCCTGGCTCCAAAATGTAGGCCCCAGGAGAGAGTGGTAAGAAAGGAGGAAAACCATTTCACACTACAACCAGCAGTCCCATATTTGAAAATACTCAGGGGATATAAGCCCATGGTGATGAGTTAGGGAAATGGACTACCTATGGTAATAAAAATTAAAATATCACAAAACAAAACTTTCCTATTCCTTTTAAAATTCCACTGAAGCAAATCAGAGCTCTAAGATCTTTGCTATCTACTCTGGTTTCCCTGATTCAAATGGACTTAAGATGGGCAAGGATACCGGGGATGACTACTATATGTCTAAGTCATAGAACCCAGAGTCAGGATAAGCCTGCAAAACTGGATGTTTGTGAAACTGAAGAGTGCAGACAATGGAAATACAGAACTGAATATGCATGTGTTCACACTGAATATGCACGTGTTCTTCAGTCTAGAATAGTACAGTTGGTCTCTTGAGTGGTTACTATCATCATGAGAGGTTTTTCAGAGAAGAAGGCAGTGGTTGTAGCTGCCTGGTCTCTTGGTCTGGGTAAAGAAAAAAAGATGCTGTGGTAGATGCAAGTACTTTTCAAAAAAAAAAAAAGTGAAAAAAAAAAAAAAAAAAAAAAAAAAAAAAAAAAAAGTAAAAAAAAAAAAAGAAGAAGAAGAACATGACTAAAATTAAAAGACAGGAGAGATAATAGAAGATTTTTTTTTTTTTAAATTAAGTGTATCAGGTTACCCTGCATTTTTTCAAATGAAATATTCCCGCTTACACTCACTCACGGGGTGGTGCAAGTCAATGTCATTTCTAAAGGAACTGTCCAAATTGTCTGGATACTCCTTTTCCTTCATCTGATTAGAATGATGTGACTGTTTGTGCTGATAAAGGAGTCGGGTCATGATGCCAATGATACAGAAGATGATGAAGATCACCACTGCTATCACCCCTGTAGAGAAAGGAGGAGGGGAAAGAGAAGAAAAGTGTCAGTAGTCATCTGGTCAAGAGACATGATTCAATCTAGATAAAGGAGGCACTGAAAAGGAAAATAACAAAATAAATTCCTATTCAAATGAACTCTGCCACATGCCCAAAATAAAACCAAACCAAACCAAACCTACTGCCATCAGGTTGATTCAGACCCATAGGAACAACCATTGCATTTCCAAGGCTGTAAACCTTTTGGAGTAGATTGCTCCCATCTTCTTCCACTGAGTGACTGGTGGGTTTGAACCACCAACTTTATAGTTAGCAGTCAAGTGTCTCAGGCACTGCACCACCAGACCTCCTTGCCAAAATAAAAACCAATCTTTATTTACCATAAAACTCTTTATTTCAGAGTTTCTGGGTGGTGCAACTGGTTAACAGCTTGGTGGCTAACCTAAATGGTGGCAGCTCAAAATTGCCTCAACACCTCAGAAGAAAAGCCTGTTTGGTAGTCTACTTCAGAAAAATAAGCCATTGAAAATCCTTGATTTGATATATGTGGAGTTGACATGAGTCAGAGTAAACTCAACAGAAGTTGTTTGTTTTTTCTTTAATGGATGAAGCCAGATGAAATTGGAAAATGATTTGATGGAATGAGAATACCATTATATAAATATGACATTGAATTGGGAAAGATTGCTGAGTAAATTACTTTGAGGCTTCTTTAAAGAATGTTGATCTGTAACTAGCATATTTGTTTATCATCTTGCAACTAAGTATTTTAGAATTACTTTAGAATCCTAGGAAACAATATTCACTTACTTCACATCCTATGTGTGTTCTCCTGCTGCCAATTTGTTTATCTTATATGTTTGGTTTAAAAACAATGATAATAATAATAAGGGTGCACCTCTCTCCTAGAAAAACTCAGAGATGCCTGAGGTGACCAATTTCTGCCCAGCTGTGTCACATTCCCCCTTTTTGGACTGCATGTGGTTTGACTGATTCTGTTTTGTAAGTTGGCCTTGCTCACCTGAAGATTTCACCTCTAACTTTGTCAGAAGATTCTTAGGATTCATAAGCAAAGTCAGCCAACAGATGGTAAAAATGTGGATGTGGAAGAATGTGTCTATGGAGGAATGTAGGTTTTTTGGTATTAACATATTTGAAATTAATTTATGATATTCAGCAGTTTTATTCCATTCATCTGTATATTTTGATTTCTTTTTTGTAAGTGTTAGGCCGAACCAAACCCAAGCCACCAACATTTCAGTTAGCAGCTTCCTCCGGGTGTCAAGCCCTGATGAGACAGCCTGATAAGACAACCGAAGTGACAGAACCCGCCCAGACTGGAAAGTCCCATGCGGTGGCAAGCTTCCTCTTGTGAAGCCCCCTCATGCTAATTAAGTGCATACCCATACTAACAGCTAATTGGACCCCACTATTTCCTTAGTGTCCCCACTTAGGTCCTCCACAAGACTATAAACCCTCCCCTCCCCAGCCAGGTGGTGCGACTTCCCAGGCCCCTCTCAGGGGCCCGTAAACCTCCCCCGGAAACTCAGAATGAAAACTTCTCTTTAACCTCACTTTTGTGCGTCCTTTTCTCCTTACTGTGGCCTTACAGTAAGTAGAATGAATAACGAGAAAAAACTAACTTTTTTGATACTCTGTATTGTGATTTGCATAAGCATGAACATTTGAGAGTTTAATATATTGAATAAATATCTCTTCCTTATTTTTGGTAGAGCTAGGGCCATAATTAATATTGCTTACTTTTTTATATTTCTAATTAATTATGTGACATTTGCCCCAACGGTTTTAGAACATGGCAGTAAACAAATCTTTGAATATTCTATGTGGTGTTAAGTTCAAATTTTCTGAGTGGCTGCAGGTTTAAGAGATGAAATAGAGACCCAGTTTCTACTTCTTTGACATATTCAGTGTTGGATGCTATATAAACTTCTAAGAATTTTCCTGGGGTCAAAATGAATTTCCTGTTCTAAAAGCCTCACTTGTTGCTATTGTTATGTGCAGTTGAGTCAGATCAGACTCATGCACCCCTCCTTGGGTTTCTGATGTATCACTATGGAAGTAGATTGCCCAACCTTCCTTCCGAGGAGCAGCTGGTGGATTTGAACTGTCAGCCTTCTGGTTAGCAGTCAAGTGACTTAAGCACTATGCTACCAGAATTGGTGGGAGAATGTCAGAAAAAACTTTTTCTGCATGTGTCAAATGGAAGATTATATGAAGAGAGAAGCAAGCTGCAAAGTTTTTCCCATGTTTCTTAATGACAAACAAAAATCAAGTTGGATACTCTTTCCTCTAGCAGAAATTTAGGCCAGACCTTTAAAGAAATTCTTAAGAAACAGTTGTGGTTTTCTTTCCTTACAGGCTTAATATAATAGCCCATCTTTGTGCTTCCATAGACATTGCAGTTCCATTCTCAGCACACTCTACTAACTCTATTGCTATCTATTTATCCCCCCCCCCCTTTTTTTTCCTGCTTTGCTGTTAGTTCTTTGAGAACAGCATTATATTATGTTTTTTTTTTTTTTTTTATCCAGGTATCTCTATGCCCTACCACAGAACCTGATCCTTACTTAGTTCATGTTCATTAAATATAAGTTAAATGAATGGACATTGTAGAATTTTCAAAGGAGAACTCCATCTGGTGTGGTTCAGTTATTCTAGGCTTCCAACAGCAGGACCGAGGCACCTGATAGGGTCATGCTTCTCAGATGGAAATTAATTTAGATTGTCACAGGCATCTTATATCAAACATGGTTTTAGAGTCACTCTCTGTTATAAGACCAAGATGGAAAAATCATGTTACGACGGGCAAAAGCCAAGCTGAGGCATAATAAAGAAGGATGAGACAAAAAGGCAATGAGAGAATGGATTAAGTAAGGGAGGGTTGGAGACAGAGCTGAATCACAACACAGCATACAAGACCTGAATCAGTAACCATATGTGGGTGCTAGATTTGAGATGTAAGGTTTCAGCCCATTCATAGATCTAACCCAAATCACTTGTTTGAGAAAATCCAACAGGAGTGCAACTTCACCCATCTGTCTGCCTGCACATCGCCTTCTTCCCCATATGCCATTTTAGAAGTTTGCTTTATTTTTGTTTTAAGAAAATTGACAACTGATGGAGATGAACAGGATGTGCTTGACTGTTTGCAAGTATGTGCTCCAGCTGTTAACTCAATTCTCAATTGCCTGATGGGATGGGATACATTTGTGAAGCTGGTGGTGCTGGGGGAAAGGGTTCCTTTGATCATGTGGCAGGCATGTCTATTCATGAAAAGGCTCATAATGCCTCAGATAATGTGGGACTCGGTGCTGGGTGGCCACAATTAAGGGGGGTTTCAGATAACATTCTGGAAAGTATAGGATCATTTATATCTTTTCTGCTTTCAGGAACAAACAATGGCTTACCTCCAATTACGGCTGAATCACTTCGAACTGCATTGGTGAGTGGTTCTTGCTCATCTGTCTTCTCAAAAGAGTCTGAAAGGAGTCAAAGACACAAACCTTCATTTCTCACTCATGTCCTGGGAGTTAGTATTCAGTGTGGAGATGAAATGATAACATCTGTGAGTTAGGCAAGGTGCTCTCAAAAAGTTGTAAGCTAGTATTTTAAAAGGTACTCAAACAAACATACACTACAAAAAGCATCTGAAGTACTCTGCTCCCATCTAATGTCCTGTTAACTCTGCTAGCTTCTGTGTAACTTATGAGATAAAGGGTTGAATAAGATGATGTTGGCACCCTGCCCAAAATGTTTTTAGCCTACCCCTGAATTTCCATGCTGCTTTGCTGGAGAGTTTCTATGCATCATATGAAGCCTCTTTTAATTGATTGCTTCTTACTTCAAGCAAGTGTCTCTCTGAGAGAACTCTTTAGTTGTAAGAGGATTCTAAATTCATTGACAAGGAAAGATGAACCTGATAGGGAATTAACACCCCTGAGAGCAACCTTTACTGACAAGAGAGGGACTATTCATTAACATTTATGACATATATATACTACTTATAAGAAAGAATGTCACATTTGAAATCACACAGACATGGTTTGAATCTGGTTGGTCTGATGATATTGAGCAAAATAAATCTTAAAATAATAATTTGCACATGTATTAAAAGAAGGATAATGATACCCACATGTACACATATAATACATATAAAATTTTCAGTACCTAGTGCTGCTACCAGTCATTTAATAAATATTAGCTATTATTATTATTATTGTACCATTTAATCCTCAGGAAATGAACACAACAGGAGAACTACTTTTCCCATTTCACTGATAAAGAAATTTGATAGGAATCATTAACTAACTTCCCTAAAGTCCTAAAGCTCATATGTGGCAGAGTCAAGATTTAAATAAAAGCCATCCATCTGCTATACTCACTGTTACACTTTCTATTATGTTTCCCTATTGCCTGGAAAAACACTAACATCAGTGAAAAGCAGGCAACAAAAAACTCAATCCCTTTTCTTCATTCGTAATTTATTATCTATTTGGCAAATGACTATGCATGTTATGCAATGATTACGGTGGTCATATGTCATATAAATTTTATCATCTGTAAAATAAGAAACACAATAGTTTCTACTTCTTACAGTTTTGTAAGCATTATATAAATTAATAAGTTTTATAATAGGTTATGGCACAATGAATATTCTTTATAAATCTTGCTTCTTTATATTTGCTTTTTATAATAATTCTTTATAAATTTTGAAAACCTTAACAACTGATCAGGATTCAGACTGTGGCTTTTTTATTCCCCCTTACTCCAAAGAAGTAAGTTCTTCTTACTTATTTCCCCTTATTCAATCCATGCACCACTTTTAAGATTGGAAACCAATATAGCTTTGATTTTCACCCAAAAATCGCCATTATTAACATATTTTGATTATGTCATGTTGATACTCATGCACTTAATTTATTAATTCTGTCTACTATTTATTTAAGTTCCAAATAAACCTTTCAGCTCTGAGAAGATGGCAGCTTCAGTAATATGACTATAAAAACCTTGACTATATCTGTGTGTGGTAACCACTGTCCTGCAAAATAGCCATTAGGGTCATTATCCATTTGTCTCAATCTCACTCTCTGTTCACAGTATGTCTAAATTGCCTTAAACTATCCTTTAGTTTTGCAGTGCAGTAAATTACTTAGTATGGCTTTTCTACCCATAAGTCATTGTAAACTCAGTGGTGGAATGAGCAACTGAGGAGCTCCTGATTGTAAATGTTATCCACCTGAGTTATTTCTGTTGGGCGTGGCACAATGCCATGTTATGCGGGGTTCTCTCTCAGGTGCTTAGAGTTCTGATGCTATGATTGGCTAGTTTGGCCACTCTGCCATGCTCAAAAGGAGGCCTCCTAGAGGCAGAACCCTCTCTGACTGCTGGTTGAGGAAGACGTGCTGCTGAAAGAGACACACACTCCTGAAAGAGACATGTGCTGCTGGGAAAGAGATGCAAGAGACATGCATTGCTGAGTAAGACACTGAGGGACATGCACTGCTGGGGGAGAGACTGTGAGAGACTTGGCTGAGAGACAGTGGGCTGGGAAGAGAGACTGAGTGTTCTTCCTGAACTTGAGTTGTAGCCTGGTGCTTCCCTAATAAACTCCATAATCTGTGAGTTATGTGTGGCCACTGAAGCGAACTATCGAACCCAGGAGAGGGTGGTGGTGCTTTGGGAGGAACAGTTGGAGAAAGGGCTAGAGGGAGGCAGCATGTCTGGCCTTGCAGTAATAGGCCTTGGGCTATTGATGGTGATTCTGCCTTCCTCTTGTGGGATTAGAGGAGGTCAGAACATGTGGCCTCCTTGTCCTTTTTGCAAGTTTTAATCACCAACTCCACCCACCTCATAAAATGAGGGGGTATAATGACTCAGCTAAATATCTTTCCTCATAAATGTGTTACTGAAAAATAGTCACTTTTTAAAGATGAATTTGACTTCTTGATGGTCAAAATTAGAGGGAACCAAGCAGTCTTCAAAGAGTGATGAGTGTGTATAAGTTTTGATAGTGAAAAGATTATGCTCTATTCTTTTCAAGTGCTTCCAAAAGAAAAATTCTCCAAGGGTTTGAAATACTACCAATATCATAACTAGGAGTAACATTCATTTAGATGTATGTGTATCTAAGATACTTTCACACATACAACTGATCATTTATCCATGGTGAGTTTTCCATGAGCATTAAACATACTAAACACCACCTGGAAATCAGAACTCTGCATACATTGTTTGATTTTTAATATCTGCCTTCTGAATCCTGCAAATTCCTTCTTAGGCAAATTCACATGAACAAATTCTCTATGAATCAACCACCAGTTCTTTCTTTAAAAAAAAAAATTTGCTCCACTTTCTTTGTGTTCCATACAACACAGAACTCTGTTCATCCCTCTATTATAGCATCTCCCACATGTATTATAATGTATAATGTCATGTACCCAATGCTATTTCCTCACCTCCAGACATATCATCTCACACCAGATATTCAGTTTTCTGAAATTATGAACTTTGAGCATTTACAGTTTTGTTTCTGTATCTGCACTAACCACTGAAGTTAACATGAAGTAAGTACTTTATAGATGTGATGTGTGATGAATGAGATAAAAGGAGAACTAAGGTAACTTTATGCAAGACAATTTCACATGATTTTTCATAAAAATGAAAAGACATAATGCAATAAAGTGTTTCTAATACATTCCTGGAAGAGCAAAGGGATGGAAATTTGTTAACACTCAGCTCAAAATACATATATAAAGAATTAAAAGTGCTTCTCCTTGGAAGGAAGGTTGAGCAATCTACTTCTGTAGTGATACCACCTTGGAAATCCAATGAGCAGTCCCTATGAGTTGGCTCTGACTCAAAGGCAGTGAGTTTTTTACTTTTTCTTAATATTTACAAAATAACTGCTAAGAGTTCTTACTGAAGGGTCTTAACATCTGGAAAAGAATATTTCTCAAAATGTAAAAGTCCCATGACTTCTTTAGTAAATAAATTTTCTCCGATTTTCATCTTCCTACATACATATCAACTACCTACCACAGATCATTGTGAAAGAGTCACCAGTTTGAGAAAAAAATAAATGAATAAATAACCATGAACCTAAGCATTTTTGTAACAATGTGGTTTCAACAGCTACTGGGGTTCTCAATGCATATTAGGGGTATGTATATGATAGAATAATATTAAAACAAACTGGGGACGTAAAAAAATCTGAAATCTAGCTTCCTCATGACCAGTACCCCTTAACTGCACATATCATAAAGTATTAGCAGTAGAATCTGAACAAAATCTATTTTCTGTATATGTAGAAATAGCTCCCCAGGAAAAAAAAAAAAACCTGGTAAGACATGGTCACCCATATAATAACCATTTCGAAGCATAATCAGGTGGATTCTGGGAAGATGGTGACATAAACAGATCATTGTACTGACTTCCTCCACAAATACAAGAAGTATAACAAGGAAATAGTGCTTGGCTTTGAGGAAGTCTGAATCAGGAGCAAAGGATAGCAGCCAGAAATTGCAGACAGGCAAGAATCAACAAATCCACAACTAATTGCATAGGAAAATTGCTTCTACCATCATCCCTGCTCTCCACCCAACCACACAGGCTGCTATGAATGGAGGGAAAAAAAGCGCCTTCCTCCCTAACCACCACACCTCCTACTTATGCCAACCAAAAGAAACCAGAACTGTTGCTCTACAACAAAAAAGACAGAGATATCCCTGGGGGTTCATTTGGAGGATATCATCCCCTTTCTTATCCTGTAACAGTCAGATGCTAGAATGCTGCAAATTTCTACAGACAGCCAACTCAAGTGGAGTCTGCTGCCTAGTCAGCAGCAGTAAATGGCAAAGGCAAAGAAGGCTTAAGACACACAAAAATCAAATAACAAAATGCTGGAGTACATCATTTCTTATCAGAATTGCAGTGAATGTAATTAAATAAATGCTCTGATCAAAAGGGTGAGAGTGGCAAAATGGGTTAAGCAAACAACAACAAAAAAAAAAATAAAACATGATCCAACTATATGCTATTTACAAGAGACACATTAGACTCAAAGATACAAACAGGTAGAAAGTGAAAAGATGGAAAAAAAAATATATCCCATGCAAATAATAACCAAAAAGAGCTATAGGTGGCAGTCCTAAAAGACAAAGTAGACTTTAAGACAAAATCTGTTAGAAGAGAGAAAGATGGACATTAGAAAGGTCAACTCATCAAAAAGATTTAACATTCATAAATATATATGCACCCAACATTGGAGCACTTTGATATATAAAACAAACACTGATAGAATTGAACACTACAATAATAGTGAGAAACTTCAATATACCACTTTAAATATTGGACAGGATATCTAGGAAGAAAATCAATAAGGAATCAGAGGACCTGAGTGATACTGTAAACCAACTAGACTTAACAATCACTTACAGAACAATCCAAAATTATATGTGTTTTCTTCCAGTGTATATAGATC